CGCTGAACGCCGTGCGGGAAGCTGTCGGGGAGGAGAACTCTCAGCGTCGCGTTGCGTTTCTCATAACGGGCTTCCAGGTGCCTTGGGGTGGGTTTTGTGCCGTTGGGGCAGTGGGAGAGCGTTTGGTTTTCGGCAGGTGAACGACGCAGAAAGCACGGGGGCGGGGGGGGTCACCCCCCCCCTTTCTCACTGCAGCAAGGATGGCCACCCTCATCGGCCTCTCCATCAAAGTGAAACTGCTCCGGTCCCTGCCCGAGAGGTTCAAGGTGAGTCACCGAATCGCTCCGGAAAGCGCAAGAGGAGGGCTGGGTTTGAAAAGAAAAAAGGAAAAAAAAACCCCAAAAAGCAGCTACCTAATTTACCGTGCAAAATAACTAGAGCTTTTTTCATATTACGGGTGAGGGAAACACTCCAGGAACCACAGAGGGCAGTGGGCTAAAGTGCCAGTGCTGTTAGGGTTCTGCGACATGTCCAAGGGCGAGTGGGGTCCTGGGGGGAAGTTACCTGCAGAGCTCTCCGGCACAGGAGCAGGAGAGGTTGGGGCCTCACCCCCTGGCTGAAAGAGGCTTAGGCAGGTGGGAATGTGGATTATTCTGTGATCACAGAAGGGTTTGGGTTGGAAGGGCCCTGAAAGACCTTCTAGTGCCAACCCCCCTGCCATGGGCAGGGACACCTTCCACTAGACCAGGTTGCTCCAAGCCTCATCCAGCCTGGCCTTCAACATTTCCAGGAATGGGGCATCCACAGCTTCTCTGGGCAACCTGTCCCAGTGTCTCCCCACCCTCTCCATGAAAAACTTCTTCCTGATATCCAATCTAAACCTCCCCGCTTTCAATTTAAACCGGTCACCCCTTGTCCTGTCACTAGAGGCCCTAGATTTTAGACATTATTTTGTTCTGCTATATATCAGTAACTGGTACTGGTGAGAATGTCCTTTTTCCACCCCTCTTTTTGTTATTGTCTTATTTTTATTATTGCATTATAATGAAATTATAGGTTTATTATTAAATAGTTTGAACTTGAGCTTCTGATGTTTTGCTGACTTGTCGCCTTTTTCTTTTGTGACGCTTTTAAAGCTGGATGTTCATATCACGCCAGGGACACATGCCTCTGAGCATGCAGGTATGGTTTATTCACTGCTCTGTTGTGTGATCTTCTTTGTTTTATTTTTTTTAATGTTGAAAACTAGAGAGGAGAGAGACTCCTACACTTACAGAGCAGCTGTTTAGGACCTGGGACTTCACATGTGTCAGCTTCTGGGGGATGTTACGGAACAGGAATGTGTAATAATGACACTTAGGTATGTTCTGTACCATACTTGACACAGCATCTCAGGCAACCTGTGTTCTCAGCTAGTCATTGATTTGCCTGGGTTGTGGAGGACTCAGAAAATGGGGAGAGGCGGGGGGAAAGTTTCTTCTTGTGTTACACCCACACATGTGTAGCTCCCTGCTGCTAGGTTTAACCTGTGATAACGTGGTAGCTTTGACTTCAGACTGCAGCTCTGCAGCCTGTGTAGTGTCTGCAGAATTACTGGTCTGCCCGAGTACCACAGCAACGGTGTGATTATGTGTCTCGCTGTGAAGTGCTTTAACAAAGACATTGTATACCAGTGTTTTGACAGGGGTGTCTTTGGTCTTCTTTTCTGCACAGTTAATAAACAGCTGGCTGATAAAGAACGTGTAGCAGCTGCTTTGGAAAACTCTCACTTACTGGAAGTGGTGAATCAGTGTTTGTCTGCTCGATCATAACTGCACGATGAGGAAATCGTTGGTATGCTGGTATGTTAAGCTAGTTTTGTGTAAGTGGTGATGCTAGTGTTACACTATACATACATCTATGAGCAAAATAAAATCACTTGCATTTTCTTAAATAAATGTTTCATTATTCCTACAAATAATAGTATGTGGGAAACTAGCTCATGGTAGGAAATACAGTGTCTTTGAGGTAGGGTTTTTTCATGCACCTGCCACAGTATAGGATGGTTTTCATTAGAAACAGTCCAGCTACCGTCTGCTGAACGACTTCCCTGGCAAAGTTTGACAGCTAAATGACAAGTTTTGCTTTAAATGTACTGAGATTTAATAATACCTAGCTTGTGCTTCTGGTCCAGGAAATGTGGCATTAGCTAAATTATTGTCTTTGGCAGAAACTGACAGCAGAAAAATTCATGTTGATAGAATTCCAGAATTAATGTGCACTTTTACAAAAGATGTTTCTAATTGTGGATCACATGGAAAAATAACAACGCGTTTAAGAAATCCTGCTGGGTATTTTGGTGCCTGCAGGTGTGCCATGCTACCTTCAGCGCCATCAGTTATCTAGGGAGTAACTAACGCACTTTTTTAAAGTAGATTGTGCTCACCTGTTTGAAGGTAAGGCTTTATGTTTCAGTAGTATTTCCTCTTTGAGGGTCTCAGATGCTATTTTAAGAACGGCGAAGCTTATGAACACTGTGTAAACCAGAGCCTAGTAGTCCAGTCCAGTCTGTGTTGAGCAGCTGAGGAAACTGAGGCAGTGGTGATCCGTGTGTGGCGTCTAAAGTCACATAGCAAAATACCAAGAAACAAATCCAAATCTTCCCATTTCAGAAATTGAGGCACCCGGTTTGCACAGGGCATCTACAGAAAGCCAACTCTGCAGCAGCCTTAGTCTGCTTATGTGGCTTAGCATCCTTTGAATGATCAGCACTTGCTTGGGTGTATGAATGAAACTGTAAGGACAATATTTATGTAGTGCTGACATAGGGAAAGGAGCAGAATGACCCAGCTGTTAACACAATCTTTCCTCTCTGTCTCTCTTGCTGAATCACTGACCTGGTTAGTTCTGACGTCGCCAGCGTTTGCACCTCAACAGCCAGGGCAGTGGGTGCAGGCAGCTCACAGGCAACGCGCTTGGTTGGTTTCATTGTGTTTTCAGGGTTTTTCTTTTACATAGAAAATTAATTTTGTCCTCCCAGATTTTGGGGAAGAAAGGAATGCAGATGTGCCAGGGGTAAAACAGAAGGATGACTAACCTGCCAACAGACTGCTTCAACCTGCACTCCAAATAGAGGAGGAATCAGTACATTGTGCTTTGCTGAATCTCCCTGCTTGGCTTTCACCACTACATAATAATAGTGTTAAATAATTTATTGGGATGTTGGCACTTGCCTCATGAAGCACATTGTACACAGTAACCCTGGGGGTGCACTTTCCACCGTTCACCTTTCCAGAGAAGCAGCAGTATGTGGTTAGATTGTTTAAGTTTACAGCGCGTAGCTGGGGGATGACTTTTCAGTGAAGGGATATCAAAGAAAAGGTCTGACTTAGGGATGGAGAATCTACTGCTTTAGGGCTGGCATTTTTCTTTAAGTGATGTGGAAGTTTTATGTATGAGATGACAGAAGGAACCGTAAGGACAAAGCACAGTTACTTTGCTGAAGATCACAGGTCTTCCTGCAGAGGCTCCCTCAGCTTGGACTTGCTGAATGGTAATGTACCACCAGTTCTAGCCAGTCTTCCATTCCCTGCTTTCAGTGCCCGTTAGCTGGCTCCTGCAGCATGGAGATAAAAGGGGAGAAGAGAATGCTAATTTGTTACAAATATTGTTTTTCCAAAAAGCTACCCCTAAATTTAGCCTCTGGAATGCTTTGTAATAGGACACATTCCCTTAGAAACTGACTTTTTTGAGCAGCTGTGTTGAATACAAACCGCCTCGTTCAAGTCCAGGACAGATGCCAGCAGCAGACATCTGTCCCACATTCCTAGGCTCTGGGCAGAGCCTTCCGGGGCAGCCGAACGGCATTCACTGCTCGCAGCCTGCCGACGCTGGACAGGAGCTTGGGGGGCAGCTGGCTGTGTGCTGCGCCCGAGTAACCTGCCGTGGGTTGGAGCCCGTGACGGCAGTTCACGCGCCAGGTTCCACCGCACCGCACCTACTCCGGCCTGCCCACATAGCCCTCCTCCCTGGGAGTAGGCAGGCTCCTTCTCAGCTCTCCCACGCTGTCACTGCTGCCTGCACCCCGCAATCTGAAACCTGGGAAGACTTCACCCCGCAATGTCCTGAGCGGCAGGGAAGTAGTTCAGCAGCTTTGTATCCAAAGACACCGCTGAACTGCCCATGGAAGAACTTCACGCTGCGGCGGCAGGATACCATGTGCTCCTGGGGTGGGGCGACGTGTACCACGCGCTGGGAACTTGTCGTTTCAAAAAGTTATTTCGGTCGCCAGGCCACGCGTAAGATTGATGTGTTTATGTGAATAAAGTGCTTTGATAAAGATCTCCCTCTGGAGCTTTGATTTATAAACTGCATGTTTCACAATTTTTTTATTTTAATAGCTGTTAAAAACATTTCCCTTTAGCCTGTCAAGCAGACAACTGTACCGCTTTCCCTTCCTGTACGAAATGCACCGCTAATGTAAATAGAGATTGAACAAGTGGCAGAATCAACTGCTTTCCCTAAACAAAAGAAAAGTTTATAGCAAAATCTTTCAAATGTTACTACGGAAGGGTAAGTATCAGCAAAGAGAACAAAACCAGCGCAGGCTGAGGCTGTTACCTGTGGGTTAGTCTGCTGGTATGTCTCGCAGCCATTCACCAGCAGCATTTAATACAAAGCACATACAACTTTCTTCATTCCACAAAGCACTAAAAATACACAACATTTGCACAGAGCGTGCTCCTCTTCAACACGCTTCAGTAGTTGCAAAAGACATGCTATCACATTCTGTAACCTTCTTATGTATATCTTATCCATTCATACATTTCTTCTTTTGTGTCCTACCTGTAAAGAGCTTTTGCATTCTGCAGCAGGTTGTCTCCATTCCTTAACTCCCCTTTCTGGACCAAAAGAGCAGCCCTGTCTGGTGACAGAAACACGCTGGTTATAGAATTATAGAATGGTTTGGG